CCTTAGTCACCGCGTCTTGCAGACAGGTCACTGCAACGTAATGCAATTACTATTGCAGTGGTAGGACGTTCTGACCGCCCGTGAGACGAGGCGGCCGAGGGTACTGGTCTACAAGGTGGTCTACACTACTCACCCACCAACCGCATCTATGTCGTCCGTCCACACGTCTTTCTCATGCGCCGTCTCGCGCGACGACGCACGCAACAGTGTGAGCAACTGCCATCAACTCGTATCAGCAACTGCCATCAGCTCCCATCAGCAAAAGCTATCAGCAAAAGCTATCAGCAAAAGCTATCAGGCGATCCAAATTTTCGCAGCGACAACAAGTCGAAACACAAACATGTCATGATGGGGTGACACCATACTAACTTTGTGTATGATCTCATACGGTTGGTTCATTTTGGCCAAGGGAATAACTAGTTCTTATTCCCTTGGTTTTGGCTCACTTGTTCGGACGTCATTCTCGATTTCGCGCTTCCACCCCACCATGCACGGACACCGCCTTGCTTACTTCGTCGCCACCGTCGTCGCGTCGGTCTTGGGCCACGACGCGTGCGGCGAGATGCCCACCACGGCTCCGACGAATCCCGTCGGTCCGCCGTGCGCATTTGCCAAAAGCACGGTCGTGACGCTCACGGCGGACAACGGCGGCAGCTTGTACGCCTGCAGCAACTGCGTCAAAGACGCCAAGGACTTTGGCGCGTTCGTGACCAGTATGAAGAGCAATACGTGGACTATTCAGCCGCTGGACGGGCACCTCGTCGCGCTCCACGCCAACGGCTTTAGCGGGATTGGCACCAATGTGCTGGCGCCGAGCATGGACCTGTCGCCCGGTATCGCTGAGCCCGACCAGGTCATGCTGCCCTTCACCGTCAACGGCGCGTCGAACGCGCATCAATGGGCGTGCACGGTCGTCGGCTCCAACCAAATTATGCTCCGCAACATCGCGAACGGCAAGTACCTCGCGCGCTGCGACGGCTGCGACGGCGACCAGATCCCGCCGCCTGACCTCTTCCAACCGGTCTTTACGCTTTCGGCGCCGCACGGCAACCAAACCACCGCCTCGATGGTGTGGACGTATGCCCTTCAGCCATAAACAATACATAATACTCTGATACCCCGTGACACCTTTATGGATGGTGCATCTCGAAGACCATGATGTCGAGCATCGTTGTTGAAGTGAGTCGATTTATCTTAGATATAACTTATTATACTAGTACACCGAACCATTTTTGGGGTGGACTTTGGACTCCGAGCGTATTGGGACTGACGGCAGCAGCGGTGGATTCTGATACGTTTGTACTCGGTGTAGCGGGGTAGGGTTGCATATATATAGTCTTCGGGCGAGACTTCGAAGGAGGGGACACCAGAGCCAGAAAAAAAGATCCGTTATGCAGGTAAGTCGTTGACTTGATGTGCGCTACCGTCTATTGCGAGGAGTGCAAATGGAGCGTCACTCGCGGCCGTAAGCGTCCTTGGCGACGAAGAGGAGCAAGACTAGGCAGGCATCCATTGGCTGATCCGACGCTCCTGCGTGCTTCGGACCGTCTGGCTCGCTCAAAACGACCAAGTCTTTTGTGCCGAGGCACCCAACGCGGCCGCCATGCACGCCACGTTCTTGACCACCTTCGGCATTTGCTGCTGAGTACGTAAGCGATGAGTCTCTTCCACGTGATGAGGCCGTAAGCGCCTGCGTGCGGCCGTTGCACTTTCGGGCCAAAAGCCCGTCATCAGCTGCAAAGAATTCTTTTCCGACGGACGCAAAGTTGCTGCATCGGTCGGCTACTTCTTCGCGATTCCTGCGCGTGTACACTCGCACCTCAACAACAGACTGCAGAGTCGTCTACTCGGTCCTGTCTCCACTCGCCATTTGAAAGTGAGCACTTGCCAAGAGACCAGAAAAAGACATATAAATCCATTCGAGTATCCGTGTCCAGAGTGCTCTTGCGTGAGGTCGTGTTCCGATGCTAGGTGGCGTCTACGATCCCGTTGATCTGTGCACAAGAACAGGCCCGTAGTTCAATTTTACTTGATCTCAGTATGGTCCTCGCTCCTAGCCCATTTGACTCTATCTTGATTAAAATATGCAACATAAAACGAAGAACGAAGTGCCAGGGCCAGCCGGACGACCAGCACCAGGAAGCACCAGAATCCGGACAAGTAGGCCCAAGCCAGCGAGCTCCAATTTTGTTGATATTTTGCGTGGTAAGAGCACGGTGACTATGAATTGTATTGCCGCTGTATCCGGATTCGAAGTTCGAAGAAAACGAGTCAGGAACCTGTCCAGGC